CTGCATGGCGTTAGCGTGGTTAGCTCGTTAGCGTGGTTAGCTAGCTAACACGTTGACGACGTCCAGCCCCACGCACGGGGCGATGTGCAGTAACTCGTTAACGGAGATTTGCCGTGTCCATCTTGTCGCTTCCTGCAGGTGAAGTGATGGGGGAGGGGGGGGAGCTGTGTTCAGTGAAGGAGGGGCGAGGCAGAGTAACGTTGCGTAAAGACAAAAGTGGACGAAAGAGAGGCAAACTTGCGGCTCCACAAGTATAATTATAACGTAACATAGACTATATCGATATAAAGGATATTGTCACACCTTATATCTCATATAAAAAATTTATCGATATTTTTTAAAAACTTGATATATCGCCCAGCCCTATTATAACCCCAACCCCCACCCCCCCCACCCCAATATTCAACTGTAAATACAGTGTGGTATGTTTCACTAAAAGCCTTTTCCGCAGCAGGCATTTTGGCTTGTCACTGTGGAAAATGCACCACCGCATTTTATGTATGTATTATTCACACTCTCCAAAGATCTCAACGTCTAACACATTCATGCCATTGAAAAGCCGGGTGATTGTATCTCAGGAAGTTGGAGGAAAAGCAGACAATTCTAAAGGTAGCGAAGCCTTTTGTCTCTTCAACCACTGTAAGAGATAGCAAGGGAGTGTGAAGACCAAAGGTGTGAAAACAGCTGCGTACTGCCTTTTGTTTCTGTAGGAAGTATTTAAACTCAGGGCCATTCTGGGCTCAAGCAGAGACTCTGCCAATCAACTGCCCCAGCAATGTTGGCTTCTCTGACCAAGCTTGGGTTTTTGTTCTTTTCTGATGAAAGAATATTAGCTACTGCTCACCATTTGTCTGCAGGCTTTATTAAATAGAAACTTCCACAACAGTGTAAGCGCCTCTGGTCTGTTCAGGTGGCGTGTTCAGAAAACCTTTTTCTTGGCAGCCATTTTTATTTCCCATGAAATGAAACTACTAAAGGAATTAAAGAGTGTCTCGTTGTGGGAGATGATCCTGTTATATCTCAGAAGTCAGGTTGTAATGTTGATGTGTGCACTTGGTGTAGGAAATGAATTAATATTTAGGGTTGCATAATCCTGATTAGGCAACATAGAAAAAAATGTCACGGTTGTTCAGGTAATCTTGTAGCAGCAAGTGGAAAATGTATTTATTTTTTAAATAACTTCCTTTCTTGGCATGTGAAATGGGATGTCTTTTATTCATCTTGCCACATTTCATTATGTTTTGCTTCCAAGGAGCCAGACTGTATTAACATTTTTAAGTGCTCTTAAGCAATAGTTTCCCACACTTTCTGAAGGTCTTTCAAAGTTCTGCTTTGGACATTGGCTTCTTTCACACTCATTTTCAGTCCAGTCTTTGTACCTGACCATTTTCAGAGGTGTTTTAAACATTTGCTAAGTCACTTAAGACCAGAGATGGGCAGTAAGGCATTACTGTAACGCGTTACTGTAATCTGATTACTTTTTTCAAGTAACGAGTAAAGTAAGGGATTATTAACCGTGATTTTTTTTTGCGAGAATGTGTCATGACAGTGACGTAAGCGAGTGCGACGTTCGTGACAACAGCTGTGTGCAGATCAACAATGGATCATATATCAAGTGCGGGAGAGAGTATGAGCGTGCAGTGTTTAAAGTGTGGAAGTACTGACCTTACTTTGAGTTTGATTCCATAAAAAGTGACAAAAACATTAGTGTCTGGTGTGTGTGGGAGAAAAAATCTTTTTACAGCGAAAAAAAACCCTGAACTTCCGAGCAAGCACCGAGTGCGCAATGACGTAATGGGAAATTCACAGAGAAACTCGCGGATTCTTCAACTGACCGCGGCACACCTGCACCAGGGTAAACCTCCGCCTACCTCACTCCTGCTTTACAGGTGAAAATAGAGCAACAGGACAGCTAGTCTTTGATTTTATTTATTTTCTGCTGTGTTTTACTTGCATCTATTTGAAAGAGTGAGTGTAAACACAAAAATCTATTTTATTTTATGTGCTGGAATGTGCAGAAAATAGGTTTAAATGTTAAACAAATTTCTTCCAGTCAGAGAATGTTGCATATAATTTAATTTTTTGCTTGATGCATAAAGTTAAAAGATTAAAACTAATAAAACAAGTTTTAAAAACAGACGTTTCCATTTGATTACATTTTGTATGATGGATTATGTATCGCTTTATCACCTATTCAGGTTGTAAATCGTGTTTTTTTACAAAGTAACTAAGTAACTAATTACTAATAAGTAATCAGTAAAGTAACGGGATTACTCTTTGGGGGAAGTAATCAGTAATTAGTTACTGATTACTTTTTTCAATTAACTTGACCAACTCTGCTTAAGACTGATCTATGAATTATTCACGCATGAAAAAAATTCACTCATAACAGACAGGTTAAAAGACCCATTTTAAAATAGGAACTTTTTCACAAAAATATATTTTATTATATAATTTCTTTACAATCTGGAAAAAACTAACAAAGCTAAAGATAAAACTGTTTCCAGATATAAAACTGTGTTTTTGCACCAATAAGGTAATTCCCAAAGAGCTTTTAGCTGAACACTTATACATACAGTGTGTCCTTAAAAATTTAGGAAAGTAGGAAACCTACAAACTAAAAACTAGGAAAACACATCTGACACAGGACCTAAGAGATACATCTGGAACTTCAGCTGATCTATCTACTGCTTACTAAAGCCTCATCAGAAATGGTCTCAGGGGAAGGGTGACTGTCAGGATGCCATTCTTAAGAAAGGGAAATGCGGAGGAAAGGCTGAGGTATGCCAGATTACACAAGAACTGGACTGGAAGTCAGTTGCAGTGAGTCTTATGGAGTGGTGAATCCAAACTTGAAATTTTTTTTGTTCAGCCCGTCATCAATGTATCCTCAGGAGAGAGGTATAACAGTCGTCATTTACAGCTATCTGTAAAACACAGCGGAGGTTCTCTCGTGGTTTGCGACTCCATTTCAGCCTGTGGTCATACTCAATATTGTCAATTAAATAAACCCTGTGTTTGCCTTATTCTGTATTTTCATGTATGTTTATATTTTATTCAATAAATATCTGTATGCAATTTCCAATTTTTCTTGTGACAAATTGAGAATAGAACAGTAAAATTAGCTGCTTGGTTTTGGATCACAGCTGATCCTTGTTCTGCTTCAGAAAAGTAAACCGGTCTTGCATCTGCTGATTTGAGTGCAATTCAAACTTAACACAAGATCTCCCCAGAAAGGGAATACCTCTTTAGCTGCAGTCCAAAAGGTCAAGTTGGAGTCTGTCTAGTCGTAAGATGAGATCTTCCCTGTGAAAGCAACTGCACAATATTGAGGATTTCCACAACCAGCTGCCAGAGAAGCATGAGATGGTAGAGGCCAAGGCTAGCTGGTTGAAGCTTTTAGAATAAGAGAGGGGTTTGTCCACTAGTAAATTGATCATAATTGGCATTGTTCTTTCTTACAGATAGAAATTGAAATACTTTGTCAGACATACTTAGGTGGGTCTCATTGAAAGAAAGACTAAATAAATGTATTCTCTATTAGGGCTGCTCAATTAATCGAATTTTAATCGCGATTACGATCTGGGCTTTCAACGATCATTAAAAATGACTGAGCCGATTATTAGCCCCTCCCTCATTTATCCGCGACACCTTAAAGGCCGGTCCGTGAAAATATTGTCGGGCATAAACTGGTCCATGGCACAAAAAAGGTTGGAGACCGCTGATTAAGAGCACCCGAGGGAAGCTCGGAAAGCTAAGCAGAAGTTATTTGGAGAGGAGAGTGACTGCCGTTGGTTGAAAAGGGAGGTTAAAAAAAAACTTCAGTGGTGTTGCACACTATTTTATATTATTTTTTAAAGTCATTGTTAACCCTTTAAAGCCGGTCAGAGCAGCACGCTCCGTGTTGTGTAACTATTTTTAAATCCCTGTAGAACCGGAACCGCCTAAGCTAGTGCAATAATTTGTTTTGCATATGAAACCGGAGGAGTTGTACTTACATCTTATGCCATCAGCTTGTCCTCGGTCACGGTTTCCTTCCACATATAGCTTTGCAAAAATTGCATAAAAAGCTCTTGCAGGAACAAAAACATAATATTCCAGAAACACGCTTTGCCGTTCCTATCAGCTGTTCGTAACACTTCCCAAAGTGAAACAGATGTCAGCGCGAACTATCACATGTCCGCCATTTCCTGCTCGGAACCAGAAGTGACGTCATTTTCGCGGAAATGTAGTTTTTTACTCGTAGGCCTTAAAAGCCTATACTGGTCATGTTTGACTTTTCTGAATAGTTTCTGGGATGCTTAGAACTCGAATTACACTGCTGGAAATAGTTTATTTTGATGCACCTGCTGTTTTCTTTGCAAATTTGCATCATAGGATTGTTTTTTTTTTTCGTTTTTCCTGCAGTGTATATAAAAATTGGTGTATCTCCAAAATAAAACTATGAAGACACTCAAAATAAATTTCCTGTGGTGGGAAACTATTTTTTGCAACTTTTTTGTATTTAAAGTTTTGAGGGATAAACCTCTTAAATTTCTCCGAGTAGAAATGTATGTAAAAAAACAAAACAAAAACGATTTTCAATTTTTTTGTAGTTTATTGCACTTTTTTGCAATTAATGTAGTTACTATGGACTTAATGCATACATATTATTAAAATATGGGCTATAACAGTTGTATAGCAACTTGAAATGCTCCCACAAATGGCACTACAACATGTAAAAAAATAATATAAGCTCTGGCGGACTTGGTTCTATAGTAGGTCTTAAAGGGTTAAATAAATATCGTCAAATAATCGAGATCTCAATTTCAGTGAAAATAATCGTGATTATCATTTTTGCCATAATCGAGCAGCCCTATTCTCTATGTCATGATCTTCTTTCTTCTCTTCACCTATCATTTTATGCTTTTGCCTGCTTTGCTTTTTGTCTGTCTTTCTTTTTTTTTTTTCCCCAGAAAAGACCTTGACATGATATCAGTGACATCATTTCTATCTTGCAGGACTGAGCAAATCAGGACAAGACCATGCAGATGATGAATTCCATCGATCCAAGAAATTGACGCCCACACCAGTTCAATAACTCCATTTTTAATTTTTCAACTTTTTGTTATTTTTGAGGGATAGTATCTCTTCTTCTGCTCCAGGGCCTCTACAAAGGCCACAACATTGAGAGCTTCCAGGGATCTCACTAGTGATTGAGGAGAAGTTACCTTGGAGTTGACTCTTTTGAACGTCCACCTTGCACTGATATAGATAAATGGCACTCTTGTAGTTGCCTGTTGACCTACCACCTTACCAACAATATTCAGCACGCCATCTCCATGTCTAACTGCAGCATCCTCCTTCCTGACTACCCCAGCCCTACATAACCTTCTGGAGGGTGATAAGATCATGTCCCATCCCATGGATAACACCCATGCCTCTGGGAACCAAAGTTCCAACCAGGGGCAGTATGGACTATCGGATGTACATGCAAGTGGGGACCCTAACAGGTCTATGACTCTGGCTGACTCTCAGGACAGTCATTTTACTAGCACGCCTAGAGATGAGTTTCATTCATCAATCACTGAAACAAGCAATCCGATGTCTTCGCTCTCTCAAAGACTCTCTGATGTTGATAGCGGCATGGACTGGTTGCCAAACTACAAAAGTGAAATTGAGGATTCTTCTTCTAAATTCCATGCATCACCGGCTTCTTATAGAAATAAAAGCAGTCATGACAGTAGATTTGCTGCTCTGAGTGAAGGAGAATGTCATATCCAATCCATTCCAGGTTTAGGTGATTATGACTCTCAACTGCCTGACAAACCTGTGGCTGTGGCAGAGTCCAGGTACCCTCAGTACACATCAGAAGAAGCTGCTAACATCCTTTTGCAGTTTGGACTTGAAAAAGAAGACTTGGAATATCTGATTTCTTACCCGGAAGACCAGATCACCCCTAGTAACCTGCCTTTTATCTTACAACAAATACGCAATCAAAGGAGTACAAATGCAGTTCAATCAGAACCAAATCCAGATCTTCAGCCAACCACCAGTATGAGTAGAAGGGACAGGTTAAATACAAAAAGAGGAGAAGAGATGTGGCAGGATGAAATGTCACCTACTGTTCAACCAAGTAAAGTGATTGACTCTGGACACACTGCCAAATATACTGTAGATGAGATTGGGAAGAGCAGTGACAAGAGAGCTAGCAATGGTGGGAGTAGAAGTATGTTGTTGATGGACTGTTATGAGAGTAGCAGCCACAATAGAGAACCACTCCAAAAAAGTATGATAGAAGGGAAAACCAGTACGATGGTTTCACCATTTGACCTGCAGGATACTGTTTCCAGTCTGAGCTCAGTCCAAGTCTGTGTGACTTCTCAAGGCAGTAATGCAGCTCAACAGATCCAACCAAGCCGGTCTTCTCAAGAAATCATCAGCTCTTTTTCTCCACCGAAGAAGGACACAGACTCAAGATTTCTGATGTCTGAGGTCTCCAGGCTAGTTCTCTTTAAAGAACCAGAGACTTATCAGCAGTCAGCCTTAAAAACTCAGCCACCTCTCAGTGTGGTCTGTGTTGTGCATCCCGATAATGATTACATTCACACCAAGGAAGAGAGTACAACTCAAGAACAAGACTCTAAGGTTGCTGAACCGATGAACAAGAAGCAGCATAAGTGGACACAACAACAGCTAAGAAAGCAGAGTAAACAGATCATGAATGCTGCTGCAAAACCAGTTTCTCTACTTTCTTCCCTCCGAAGTACCATAACTATTCCATCTTCCAATAAGCAGTGCTTGGCAAACAGGGAGCTTTCAAAGTCTCTCCCAACAAGGGCCATGAAGCAAGACTATGCTGCAGCCACACCAAAAATCTTTCCACATACCTGTTCTCTGTGTTTACAACAATGTGCTCATATGAAGGTGGGTGGAAGAGTATACTCTGTTTGCCCTTGTTTAGGAGGACAAGTTTTTTAAGATTACGTTATTTTGATTGAGTTTCAATTTCATTTTCTTTTCATTTGGAAGAACTGATGGCTGTTTGTTGAAAAAAAAAAATCTATAAATGGTACTTTCAGTTGATTTTAAACATTGTTTCACTGAATCAGTAATATTGACAAAAGTATTCCAGTAAGGTGTGCACCACAAGCTGTAAGCTGTGTACCCATTAACAAAAACAATATGAAATTTTGTAACAATATAAGGAAAAGAACAGTTCATGATCCAAAGTGTCACATTTGACAAACATTGTAGAGGAATTGTGTGGCTACTGGTAGAATGAGGAGAATAGTCTCAGTGACTGCTGATTGAGGTAGCAGATGAATTAATTGTACAGTGCTGTACTCCCCGCTCAATTTTTAGCCAAATGATGCAGAACTGCAAAGATAGTGTTTTCACAGTGCAAATGGATAATGAAATAACTCAAGAATTTCTCAAGGCAAAGAAAATAGGTATTGAAAAAAGAGAGAGACACACAAACAATTAGCCATTGAAGGTGCCTGCAGTAAAGGCAGAGCATCTCAAAGAAGGAAACAGTATTTGGGAGTTTGTATGGGTTCAGAACTTTAGGAAGTCATTATCTTTTAAGACTATGTGCATTTGTAAAGTTACTTTTGAGCTTCTGAAAAAGTTTGAGATAAATTAATTAAGTCTGAAAATGAATTGGAATTCAGCCACATCAAATCTAGTGGCATACTGAGGCAAAATGACAAAAATTTAGCAGTTGTCCAAAAACTTATGGACTGAACTGTAGTTACTTCTATGATTATCATCTATCATATTTTTCAAAATGTAATCAAAGTCTTTGTCTATACAAATGTGTGACATGCTTTTTGAGGTTTATTGCTTAGTGCTGTTTCCTTGACAACCTGGATATACGTCCAAGTTAGTGTTGCATAATGTCGCAGGGCATCATAGTGATGAACAAAATTTGACTGTCTAATGCTGCAGTCACACTAGGCAAAACAGTGTTAGGAGACTGCGGTACGACTCAAATTACTTGGGCCATATTGTATCAATACTATAACAAAGTGGCAATAAGACAGAACTTTTCTGCTACCAGTTTGTGTGTGAATGGGGTCGAATTAGCAATTATATGCCATCTCATTGTAGTAATATGCCAATCAACTGAGATAAATGATAGAAAAATGCTTATCTGTTGCTGTCTATATAAACTGAAATGTACATAAACCTGAATTTACATTAAGAGTTCAGCCAGAACCTCATAATTCTGAAACAGAAGTTTCCTCCACAAACAGATTTAGTTGCTGCAGGGTGGCAATGTAACTCCAAGTAGAGCAGGGCGATATGACCAAAAATATTTATCACGATATACATTTGAAAATTTGCGATAACGATATAACTGACGATATAATTGACACTAGACAAAATACTTTACAACCCCACAACTTTATTAGTGCAAAAAAAAGAGAAAACATCAATGTATTTTCACTTACACAAGCACCTTTTTTTAAGTGCATTAAAGTTATATTAAAAAAAAGTTACAGTGCAAATGCAAATTCCTTGCTGACAGTTTAACCAAAAGGCATTTCCAGTGGAAATTGGCCGACATATCCTCAGCATAACCATGTATAATATCCACAAAACTTAAAAAGTTATACACACACAATACGGTAATATTATGTTGAAGCACAGTACGTATCACTCCGCGAGGCTCCTGCCTACGATAGCCGTAATGCTCCGACAATCCATCAAGCGGTGCGGCTTCGTAGCTTAGCAAAGTCATACTGAAACATCTGACAGATTTTCGAGCACCGTGTACATAAAATTGTTTCGAGGTCAGTAAACACAACCAGAATTCATACATAAGGCACACGGGATTATAAGGGGCACTGTCGATTTTCAGAAAAATCAAAGGATTGATTTTAAGTGTGCCGTATTTCCCAATAAACACGGTAATAACGACGGCCCGCTAGCATGCTCTACCAAAAATAGTGCTTTGTTGTGTATCTAATGGTTGAAAGCCAAACCAGTTCCACACCACTGAAGTTGCAGCATTTTTACAAACCTATTCTGGTTCATCTGTTTCATTCAACGATCCGCTTTCGCCCTCATTCTCCGTCGCCGGCACGCTTTCGCTCTTTTCATTCTGCATCGCCGCCATGTGCGTATGTAAACAAAGGCATTGCACATGCGCGTTTTACCCATATTCTATCGCATAGGTGTCAAACTCTGGCCCGCAGCCTAATTACATTTGGCCCACGAAGCCATACCAAATTACTATTAGAGCTGGCCTACTGGTATTATACAGCTAATATATATATTGTTTAGTATTAAGCTTTGCTTGTTCCATATTCAGTTTTTCAGCAAAACGTGTTTGAGTCCATAAGAAAAGATTCATTCTTATATCTAGAGGAATAAATATATTTCAATAAATATTAACGTTAGCCTGCGACTTTGTTCCAGTGTTGAATTTTGGCCCACACTGTATTTGAGTTTGACACCCCTTTTCTATCGCGATATTTCATCTTCTTATCGTTGCCCAACATTACACCGGTATTACCATGAACAGTGTGATATAGCCCAGCCCTAACTCCAAGTCATATAGGCAACAGCTTTTATGTAGGACTATAACTAGAACAGTTTCCCAACCTTATTGCAAAGAAATGAGTCACAGGCAATTTGTGATCATGGGTCAGTCAATCCATAATAGACTGTAGTTGTTTGTAAACTGGTTACCTTCCATTGGGCAACCTGTGTAATTACATTGTGACTAAAGATGGCCACACAGAGGTTTAGGATATTGCACACTCAACCTATGGGGGAAACCAACTACTTGGACCAAAAAAACAAAATTAAAATCGGTGCAATCACTGGATGGCCAGCAGTGGGGTTTTTTTTCTCCCCTGCTATTTTTACTACTGCATTTTAGTATGACTGAGCCGTAAGGGACTTGAGGCCACAGTTGTGTTTATTTGTGTTTTAAGATGGTAACTGAACTGAAGGCTGGCGGCATTAAAACTGATAACACTACATTTCTTCTTGTTTTCTGTGTCTTAGGATTGGATCTTACACCAGAATACCAGCATTCATACTGAAAACTGCAAACTCCAGATACAGTCAGTCTGTCTTCCTTTTAACTACAAATTTCAAAGATCTTTGTCCTTTTTTTTGATTGATTAGTGAGAATCACAGTTTTTCCAGACCTTGTGGGGTAGACTCGACAGAAACCTCCTGATGTAATTTTATTTTACTACTTCTAGGGTGTGCTATATGTTCCATACCTTAGGTCCTCTAAAGCAGTTTATTTGACAGAATATGAGCCACCCAAAAACATTGTTGATAATCTTTAAGGGTTAATCAGTTCTTTCAGAAACCATTCTTTAGGATACCTCCTGTAATTGCTTTTGGTTTTTAATCGTTGCTGTTTGAAATAGCTTTTCTAAATTTTATTTTCATCCCACTGGTACCCAGAGTGGGATGGTAGTGTTGTACCATTGTCAAGGTAACAATATTTGTCATCAGGCAAAAACCAATCACAGAAGCTTTGCAGCATTTCCTTTTTATTTGTTTACCCGTTCATTTCTTTATTAATATCCTTTAGTGATGTAGGCACAGAAAACAATCCCATGCCCTCCACATCTGCTGAAACTTCCAAGCATTGTCATCAGAAAACCAGACATGAGAGTTCTCGCTCTCGCTCACACAGCCCACGCCAAAGGCATGGCTCAAATGGAAGAAGGGCTAGCCCTAGTAGCTATTCTTCTCATTCACGTAGCCCTCACAAACACCACCACAGCTCTGAGGGTAGAAGAGAGAAAATCAAGAGTGGATCACGATCCCCACACAGCTCCAGACATACTCACAGGTACTCACTAGTTGGAGACAAACATTAATATCAGCATTTTTACATGTCAGAAATATTGCTAATATCGCTTTCAGCCGTTTTGTCATTTTTAGAAATTTTGAATTTGATTTGTCCTTCCAGCTCACCACGTTATAAAAACCCCAACTCCTACCGTCATCAGTCAGACCTGAGGAGCCATGAGCAATGGTCTGACCCGAGAAGAAGAGATGAGAAACTTAGCAGAGGCCTTAACAGACAGCCATCAATGGAGAGGTCATCCCCTCAACCAAAGAAATTGAAAAGTACAATGAAGCTACAGGACACTCCAGGTCTGATAAATTGCAAACATTTTGTATTTTATAAGTTAACCAAGTGCACAAGTTGGTTATTCTGTGGTTAATTTACACTTGCTAAACACAAATATATTACTAGTTTATACTGTAAAAGATAGAGGAAACCAGCCTCAACCAGATATTTTTTTTTTTGTGTTTTCTTTAAAATTGACTTAATAACAATAAATAACTTGTGTTGTTTTCAATAAAGTGCTTTTGTAGCTCTGTATTTAATCATATTGGTAGTGTACAGTGAAAGGCTGTTTTTTCTGCCATCGTTGTCCCTGCAGATGTTCAGTCTTTGCCCGAACAGCCTGACTTGGAGATGGTGGTGAAAAATTTGGCTCCTGTCTTACTGGATGAGCCATTATCAACTGCTGCCCCTTCATTGTCATCCTGCCGTCCAGCAAGAAGGGAATTGACTTCCAAGACCCCCGAAGCTAAACCTATCTTCCAGAAGAGATGGGCAATTTTCTCTGCAAAACCTAAGGTTGGTGTGTTTGTTTGGTTACAGGCAGTTAACATATGGTAATTTTGTTTATGTGAGTCACTGCTCAATGCCTTGATCAGTAACAATGTGTCAGGAGTTGCTGCTGATTTTGTAAAGGCTGGACACCGATGTGTTCATCTACAACAAATAATATATTTAAAAAACAGCTGGATTCATCCTGTCATGATCACATCTATATTTGGTGTAACTTTGTCTTTTTTCTGTTTTGTTTTGTTTTCATAGTGTGATAAACCTTTACCTCCAACCATGGTGAGGCTGGAAGGGGTTTATGATTCAATTTCATACAATGATGTGGTTGCTGCTGTGGGTTTTTTTGGAAAAACCAAGTCAGTTCTATTGTTGAGGGCCAAACTGCAGGTATGCACAGTTAGAGTAAAAAGAGTGTGTTTGTCTTTTTGCTGTAAAAGTGTACCATTTCATCTTTCCACATTAGCAATAACAAAGTATGTGATAGGTATCAAAGTTTAATTACGTGGGAAGTGGCGGAGCATGGAAAGAGGAAGAAACCCACTAAATGATAAATTTGCAATTGCTTTTATGCTGATATTGGAGATGATGGAGTGCCCTTCTACTTTGCTTTTGTTTTGCTTCTTGGCATAAAATCTTTATCCTAAACATCTTTGCACTGACGTCATTAACAAGGAACTGCTGTTTGGTCTAGAGTGTCATGCTGAGCAGTCAGTATTCTTAATGAAGCTGGTTAATGACTTGCATGTATAAATCCCAATCAGAATTTAAGAGCCATCTTGAAGTTGTTGAATCTGTTTCAGAATGTGTCAAACAAAACGTTAGTGATATTCAACGTAAAGTTACTTCTACAGGTAATCAATAAAGGGTTAAATTTTCTGTGTTGGAATATCGTTTCCTGCTCTGAATCAACATGTGCAAGTTACTGTTGCAGGGCTAAAACAGCAGTTCAGTAACTCACTGGATGTGGCTTTTAAAGGCTTGAGACTTAAGAAAGAAAGTGAATAAACGTAACAATGCCTAATTCTAACTAAAGAAAGCAGATTTCCAAAAACCTTTTAAATTTAGGAATTTGTTAGTGAATACGTTGTGAGCTGATGTTCATAATTGTAGTAAGCAATCATCTTGGATGTTTATATATAGGCAGTCGCGTGTTTTGAGAAGGAGGAAGATGCTGAAAAATTGAGAAAAATGAAGAAACTCAGTGTGAAAGGAGTGCAAGTCGCTGTTGTGAAAGGAAAGGTATTTAACCTCTTCTATCTTTATTTGTCTTTAATTTGAGAGTATGCACAATCAGTAATCAGAGTAATCCAAAATAAATCTTCTTTTTTTTTTAAAAGGATGCTGTTTCTAAGAGACCTCTTCTAACTTGTACAACAGAGCAAAAGAAGCGCCCTCAGCAGTAAGACATGCCTCACATGTACTCCCCCCCTCCCCCCCCAATAATTATATATATTCATCTATACCAGTGGCATTTTGTGTCCTCTGTGAGAGGGGAAAAAATTAATTTGTTTGATTCAATATAATTAGAATTTGCTGTAGTTGCTGTACCTCCTTTTTAACTTGTACCTTATTATAATCAATATTTAGTCCAAAAGTGCTTAAAGTTTATTTTAATCACAGGAAGGAATCAGTATTATTAACTTAGATCACAGTTTGTTTAGCATAAACTCTGCAGGTATAAGAAGGTGCCATCAAAAAGTTATCAGTCTTTAAAAATTACAAATCATACCTCAGCCCTAACAGCACCAGATGGCTGCCCTTCACTGAGCCTGGATCTGTTGAAGGTTTCTTCTTGTTAAAAGGAAGTTCTTCCGTCCCACTGTTGTGTTTTTTTCATTGGGGGGCCATCCAATAGTTGGGGATTTCTTTACTGTTAACTCTGACTTTTAGATGTGGCTCCTTGCAACTTCATACACTTCCCCAAAGTTAAATTTAGGTTTTAATTGTTACTTTTTAAAACACCGGAGTAGTGAAGCAGACACAAAAGCAAGTGGACTGAATGGGACTTCCACTTAGTAATCTGAAATCAGCAGTCCATACACACCTAACAAACAAATTTAAATCAGGTATACTTTATTTTATTTGCTGATTCCCAGAAATGTTTGATCGCAAATCATATGTTTGGATATAAAGCCTTACAAAGGAAGGACTGTCTGACAGAGTTGACCATATCATTCAAAACATTTCCTTGTATTTCTCTATTTTTGTCTCATTTTTTTTCCATTTACATGTTTCCTTCACAGTGAATCTTCCAAGTTTGGTATTATTGCACCTCAAACCACTGAATCCACTTCCACAGGAAGGATTACCTCTCTGTTGGTCTCATTTTCTTCAAAAAAAATGAAAACAGCAAAAAACAGTAATGTGCCTGCAATAAGACGAGTGGAGTTGGTTGAGGCAAAAGAAGCAGCTTCAAAACTTCCATTCAGAAGTTCAGTTCTGCCTCACAATGGTGGCTCTGAAAAAACAGTTGAGTCCAGTGAATGTGAAACCAGTGCTATTGAATCTGTGGTTGCACCTACTGAGTCAGGCCAGGTGGAAACATTTACAAACACGAACGTTACTGAACCAAACAAAGTCACAGAAACCATCTCTCAGCTAAGCTGGTGCTCAGTGGTGGCTTCTGAAGCAGAAACGGGCTCGATTACGGCAGCCCAAGAATCTGCAGTGGTATCTGACGACAAAGACAAGGTTGGTGCAACAACAAGTTTAACATCCAATGAGATGATGCAGCAGGAGGATTTCACCAAAGCCAATGTTGAGGCAACAGACACAGAACCACTGAAGTCTGGAAATACAGGAGACTCCACTGTTACCTCCCTGACTGTTGGGGAGAAGCTGGATGAAATGTACACAAAGTTCACTTCAGCTTGTTCAGGTTTTAGGAAAGCACTAAGACCAAATGTAAGTTTTCTCTAAAGCACTTACATTCATCACTAAGTTTCAAACATGTGCTCCCATTTTACAAGTATGTTAGGAGTTGCATCTCGTTCTTTAATACATTGGTTCAATCACATTCACTCTCGTCATTCTTAGATGACACTCAAAGAAAATACCCTAAATAGTGTGAAGTGTAGTAATATACAGGTTATCAACAGGTTTTTAAAGACCTTACAACTTATTATGGGCTCTTATTATGGGACTTATCATGGTATTATGGGCTTCTGAAAGAAGAGTTATCAGGTTTCTCAAATGAGATCATTTGGACAGCCTAAGAGTTGTCCGCTATATTGGATATGATATAACCACTGAGCACAGATAGTATAAATAAATAAATAAATAAAACATGCTCACAAGGGAAATTTATTCCACTACTACTTTGTGAGTGGTCCCTGGTGAAATCAGCTGCAATGAGTGTGCTGACTCAAAACCTCTTTACAATTTCCCTATAGGTAGCAGATTGGTGCAGTTTGAATGACAGATAGCAGCTTGTTTGCAAACATTTGCTAACTACTAACAGAGTAGTAATAAAACCTAAGAAATTGGAAAGCAAACAATCACCCAATTCGGCGTTTTCTATCCAAAATCTGGCAATCTGCTAATATCAAAAGCTGAAGTCTAGAGTCTAATGTATTACCCCTACATTGTCATACATCAATAAGGCTGACGCCACTGGATGTTTCAGCACCATCAATCCTTAAGCACTGTAATTAATGCCAGTTGCACTATAGATAACGTTAATACTGAGCTTTTTTTTTAGTCAATTTATCCACCTGTGTTCCAATTAAATGAAAACAGGTGTCATTTAATTCGTATTATGCTTAAATATTTTATAGTCCTCTTAACAATCGCATTATGAAAGGTTCATTGTCTTCTAGAGGGATAGATTTAGATTCACAGACTGACATAGACAGTCTTGTCCAGTACAATCTACCTTATGTACCAATGTAGCTTACATTACGCAGGTAAATTCCAAGTTGGTCCCAGGAGTAACACTCCTTTGACCTTTGAGACACTATTATATCTTTGCAGATGGTTTTTGTAGCACTGGTTACCTCTGTCGTGAAACCTAAAAGCGTTTCCATCCTCTACTCATTACTGCAAACACATTACTCTCATTACACCTACCCCAACTTTATGGTCTATATAATTACGTCACAATATCCCTTCATTACTTACTCAATACGGAGATGGAAAACAACATAAGAACATAACACAGTAAACAATGAAGAGTGTACAAGTAATGTAAAGCTTTTACGAATGGGAGTGATTATTTTTTTTAAACAGACCTGGATTTATGTATTTTTGTACTAATGTAAAAAAAAATTAATATGCCAACTTTTTTAAATCTAAAAATCTAAAATCACCCAAACCATCACTTTTTTTCCAGTTTACAAATAAAGTGTTGTTAATCACCTACCTGCCAAAATATGATGAATATGCTGACTGCTACACAGAAGAGGAGGTTGCCAATCTACTCATCCCATTCGGATTTCAATATTTGGACGAAAACATCTACGTTAGTCCTCAGATGCGCATGGTAGGCACCAGGTTTATTAATGCTCTGCATATACAGACATTCGACAAGTTTTCACAGGAATCCTTTCATATATGAAGTAAACCCTATGATTTAGCAGAAATAACCTGAAGTAGTTACTTTCTCTATGACTATCAGTCTCTCACATTGTTTTGGAAGAATTTTGGCACACTCTTATTTACAACCTTAATACTGTTCATAGAAATTTCATTTATGCACAGCTCTCTTAGAGTCCCTCCACAGCATTTCGATCCGATTAAGGTCTGGGCATTGGCGCTGTCATTGCAATACCGTCTTTTCTTTTCTTTACTTCTACCTGTAAAATCTTTATAAACTTTTACTTTATAGAAATGCTTCCAATTAGTGATATGATTTAATCGAACACTTTTGTTTAGCAGCACCTGAGTGCTACTTGTACTCTTAATTCCTATAAAAGCACCAAGGGTTTACTTAGTTTTTCATAGGACTTGGGAAACTTTCTTTTTTACTTTCACTTCTTTTGGCTGTATCTCTCCTTGTTCCTTTATCAGAGCTTGTAGCTGATTAGAATACTAATTAATGTGTTTTCTAAATTTTCTTTTTAGGCCTTTGTGCTCATGCCTACTGTGCAAGACATGCAAAACATCATCAGAGCCACAAAGAAGATCAGCTTTGTTCTCAATAAGTCTGCACTTCATTTGAAGCCCTTGAGCTACGCCCTTCCAATGAATCCAGTAAGCAGAAGTGTAAAATACTGCTGATTATTATTGCAACATTTAAAAAATGTAATTTTAAAACAAAGCATTTATATAAATTATCCGTGACCTTCATCCCATGGTTTGGTTCTATGGTTCTTATTTAAAGGAAGTTAGACTGAAAGTAATTTTATATCTGTTTTTCAAAGCATTGAGCAGAATCAAATTTCATTAACAAATGTATGGTGTCTATCAGTAGAACTAGGTGTGACCTTTTCAGTCTGGGTTCATGTAGTGCCTGAGCAAAGTTGAGAGTCCGAAAATCTGGTTTAAAAAAAGATATAAATGTAAAAACAGGAGAAGACACCTAATCAACCTAAGAATAAGATTTTTGTCATGCTTTGATAACGTAGGATAATAGCTCAGCCATCTCATTTATAAAAAAAAAACAAAACAAAACATTGTTTAGGCCATATAGATTTCAATTAATATATTACAATCAGAAAGTAGTATAGAAAGTAATGTCAGTAATATGTTTTATTTCACAATTTAAAATTGTGAAATAAAACAAAATAAATAAAAAAAAATTGTATTTTCAATGCACTGAATCTGAAGTTTGTTCATTTTTTTACATTAGCTGGATATTTACCATTGCCACCATCTACCTTTGTTTCTTTCAGTTTGGATTTTATAAATCTATCATGAAAAAATTGCCTTATGTAAGTAATATAGTATTAAATTACTCTCTTTTTTTAAATGTGAATTAAAATTACTGCTGGTGGTTTACAATTTATCACATTAAATCTATAAAACCATGGATAAAAGTTTTAGAAGTGGCAGAAATTTTGTTTTTCATACAATTTGTTTAATTTTCAAATAAATAAATAAATACATGTTTACATGCATTTGCATGCATTTGATTTATTTGTCATTAAAAGTTTTTGAAATGTATGAAATACTTTTGATCTTTCTATCACGATATCATGGGAACGTAAAAATATTTTATTTGTGCTAAAACCTTTGGAAACCATCAGCAGTCGTGTTTAGTTGGAGAGAAGTAGTACTGATGTATGTGTGTCTCTGGTTAGTTTGAAAATGTACCTTTTCTCAAAGCAGGAGATGACTGATGATGGATCAGCAATAATCTACATCAAGAACATCTCACAAAGGGAAGCCAAGGATCTCAGAAAAGCTTTGAAAAAGATTGATTCTGTGAAAAACTATCTGCCTTTGCTCAACAAGGTATACACACACACACTTACCTAGACATTCATGTTTAGGCGAATTCTGTGCATCTTATCTCCAATATTTTTATGTGTTATCCAGGTGTTTGTCGAATTTAATTCAATTTATGATGCTGATCGACTCGGAGTTTGGTACAGCCTCCTCAGACGGGGCTTTTGCCACACGGTGTACAGGTTGAAAATACCACGAATTGAAAGCACATCACAACGTAAGTATTTGTTTTTTATGACAATAAGAAAAATACACATAAGTTGCACTTTGCAAAAGTTGTAACAAATTTAGGTAGCACAGTACAATAAACATAGGTAACATGTGGTTAAATAAAGTTTAGCAAAAATTTAGCTTACTGTTAAAAATAATGTTTTACAAATTTTTATCAGTTATTTTGTGTTTGTGATTCATTTGGGCAAGTATTTTCATTCGTAATGCTCATAATTATTAATTTGTTATATTTTAACCCAAGCCTAATTGAAAGTAAAAAGCAATGATAAATGTGCACACATTGATAAGTTCAAAAGAGAATTAGGGCTGCTGAAAAAAACAACAATTGGGTTAATCAAGACTTCTTTTCAAATTCAGAAATATAACTTTAACTTCAGAACTCTGAGATATTTAATATATAATATACTTAAAGGCATTTTATCTTTTCTTTTCTTTTTTTTTCTTTTTTTTTTTGTGCGGTCGCCTAAATTGACTCTGGATCTCCCTCTAGATGCAACAGAGGGAGTTTGGTCTTTGGTATCTTGCCAGTTGAATTTGAAGTTACATATAATGAGCATTAAGGGAAAAGAAACCATTTGATTAGCAGCAGCAACAACAAACTAAAGCCATAAAGTGATGGTAATAATCGCAGCATAATTGTCACAAAGGAAACTAAAACACAGCTATTGTGAACCAATGTTTTTGCAATTCTTCAGATAATTTTACAGTCACTTTATTTTTGCTTGTGCAGCACCCAGACTGGCATCCAAAGCATTGCCAGACACCAAGAATGTTACTGAAGGGGCAGTTGTCCCAACAGCAAATTTTGGTGTTCCACAGGGCAGCACTTCACCATTTTGGGTCACGATGACCACTTATCCCTTTGTGTTCCCTACCGTCTCCCCTTGGTTCATCATCCCAGGTGAGAGAAACGGTTGAAACACATAATTTATATCCAGTGTGTAAGTGACTGTGACTATATTCATTTTTCATTACTAGATTTTTTGACTGTCAATGGACTAAATGACATTGAGGTAAGCTTGTCTTCTCATATCATCAATTTTGATTTAATTTTATATTAAATGTGCACATTTTAACAAGTCTCAAACTCTTGTTTTTCTTTTTGATTTTTTTTTTAAATGGATTAACACAACATAAAAAATTTGATCTTTCCTGACTTCCTGATGTTAATGAAGCTTGTCCTGTCTAAGGCCTCAGTCACACAGGCTTTAAGACTGATAGGGAACCCTTGGTATCCATCGGTCCCTAGGAAATATGTGTATTGCCTCACTGGTTGGTCAATGTTCCTGGAGGTTGCAGACAGTTGCTAAGTAGAATCAGTCACAGGAAAGTATACAGTGTGTTATGGATTCAAATATTGAGGAGGGATACAAAACAACACTGGTCCAGGAGGGTTAGGTCAAACGATGATTTTAATGAACACACACGTGGGGAGATGAACACTTACACAATCAGCGTCGATCTCCTCCTAACAATACACAAGCAGTTGTTTTATAGCATCAGGGTATTATTACTAGGGATGGGTTTTTATAATCGATTTATCGATTAAAATCGATTCTGGCTTGGATAACGTAAAATCGATTCATTAAAATCCTGAATCGATTTTTTAATATAAATTTATTTTGCCCGAAATGCCAGAATCTGGTGAAATCACAAAATTTCAACAACCACCAAACAGCTAAGACAATAAATGAGAGCAGGTACAGGGATTCTGCACATAGACTTAAACACACAGCACAACCCGCGGTTCAGAATCAGTTAGATGTCGCCTTTCTCACGGTCGGGGCTGAAAGCCGACAGCTCGCTGATTCTGATCTGTCGGCGCTTTGTGTTCACGCCCTTTATGCGCCGATTCTAAAGCTGTTAGTTTGATGTCTCTCCAAACAATATTGACTGAACCAGCAGCAAAAGAAGATCCAAACTACGCTTCACATAAACATCGTCATGTATTCACTCTTACTTTTACTGTTTTGCTTTGATCACGATGCACAGCTCTCTCTCCCTCTCTCTCTGTACTTCAAGAACAGTTTCCCGTCTAAAAATCTATTTTCTGCATTATTTGCTTGCTTGTTACGCACAGGTCTACCGTTGTTTACAGCGCTGTCGGCCGACGTTTTTTTTTTTTTTAATATATATACTTCCGAAAAGAAAACCTAATTTCTGCCGTACAATACTGAACAAATTTAAACTTTTTTAAATTATGCAAAACGCTTAGCCGTGTCTCTAATAAAACCACTGTAACTTCAGAGGCAATGTTCATGTGTTGATTAATGGTTTTCTTTCGTTTTTGATGTACTGCAGAAAATTTTTATAAAATCCCAGGCCAGGAAAATCACCTTCATGTTTTTCTGTGTTTTATCCTCAGGTACTTTGACACAAAGGCATCTGCTGTAATGCTCACACCTTTGATAAAGTCTTGCGTGTGTCAGCTTCCTTTTTCTTGATACAAAAATATGTAAATGTACTGATCTGAATTATAATATTTCTGACTGTCAAAATTTCCCAGATTCAAATTGAATTGAATTGAATCAATCGAATTAAATCGAATCGTGGATCGAATCGATTCGGGACCTTGTGAATCGGAATTGAATCGATTCTAGAAATCAGTGACGATACCCAGCCCTAATTATTACGCCCCCTCTTGCGTTAAGCAGATACAACACATGCATAAGTTAAAACCACAAACGTTCTGTCAATGACTTTTGACACAGTTTGAAAAGAACATTGTCTCCGTCTCCACGCCAGGTGTTTCCTGTAGCTCGTCTTGCTCTTGCTTATATCTGGAACATCAGACGCACGTCCTGCAACAAAGTGTCACTTATGCAGGCACAAAATGCGGTTACAAGCGAAATATATCTGAACTCTTACCTAAATATGATTCTACCTACTGTGTGTGTGTGTGTGTGTGTGTGTGTGTGTGTGTGTGTGTGTGTGTGTGTGTGTGTGGACCTCAATTGCACTCTGTCTCACCTCTCACCTCACCAACTAAAGCTCACAACCTTTTACCAGACAGAAGCCACTCTCATATGTATAACAATCTAACTGAATCTATATACGGAATATATTGAATAAATGCTTTAATCAAATGCTACTACTCAAAGCTTAATTAAAAAAAGATATAAATGAATAAAAGATAATAATGAATAACTTGAGTCATGTATGTTTTGTAAGCTTGTAGGCAATCCTTCCATAGCTCTAACTCACTTTGCACAAATAGTTATAACTGCACCTGGAATAAAGGTTAATATGTTGCCTGTATGTTTAAACATCTGAAGGCCCTCTTAAAGCTATCTGTTATATTGTTAAGGCAATGCTAATGCTGTAGATTATATTGTAGCGGTAAAATAATTTGTTCAATTTCACAAGTGCCACATAAAAAATACTTCCTTGTGATTTCTTTTGTTGGTAATGAATTGCCACAGTTGCCTGTAGTATATGTGGAGTATATACAAACACTTGACCCTTACTAGTAGTCATAATGAAACTATGAAACATGTTGGTTGCAGTTGCAAGGCAGGACTTTTACTTTGAAAGGAATGGTCTCTGTTTAAAGTTTACATGATACTTTTTAAAGCGTCATTACCACTTGGTTAGTCAAAGGCGAGTGTTTGCAGAAAAGTTGCCATCATTAGTTTAAACTACAAACAATCTCAAAAAAATCTTTTTCACGTTTAAAGCAATAACAGACTTTTTAGACACAGTACTATTTTGTGACAAGGTGGCAACAGCCAACACCTTTCAATGCTCATATGGATAATACACTTTTTTTCCCCTGGAGACCAGGGCTTATATTAGTTAATGCTGGCTATGGCTCTCATATTACAGAACCTGCACGCTATCTCACATGGCAAATTACTGTCTTGAATTGTTAAAGTTGACCCAAACTTGGAGCGAGTAACTTTTAATATTCCAAACTAACCATTGGCAACCACTGTGCATAGGAAGTTAGCAAAATTATATCTGATGTGCAAACACACACTTGGTGGAAATGTAACCCGTTCATCAAAGGCAGTATATTGTACAGGTGTTACAGTTCTTATTTTCCTTTAACCCTCAAGATTCTTTTGATTTTGAATCTTGTGTCTTGTAGAAAGCTCAGCCTCAAGGTTCCAGGTTCTCCACAATCATGTTGACTGGTTTGCCAGAAGAAAACTACAAGTACGAGGACGTCACCATGCTGGTGCAGCATTATTTCCTGGATACTGTACTGTTCTACAACTTGATAGTAATACCTCTGCAGAGGAGGGTAAGGAGTAGCAGCTGCAGACTGATACAAACAGATATTTCATATTTATAGAACTTTGTCATGGTCTTTAATCTTTCCTTCTTGAATTGCCTCCAGGCTTTTGTGTTTTTCAGTGACTGGAATGCGTGCTGTGATTTTGTCCAAGATCACATTAAAAATCCAATTTCTGTTGGAGGCCGGGTGCTCGACATCCATTTTGTGTTACAGGACATGCATCCTGGGACCAGTCAGGTATGGAAACTGGAGAAAGCTTAACTGATCAACACGATACCATCTTGCTTTTCCCAAGCAAACCCACATTTTGGAATTTTGGATACTATAATTGATCCTACTGAAATGATACTTTGTCACATTTTAATACAAAGATATTTATTTTTTTGTTTTATTTTTTTATTAAAGTTTTTGTTTTTGTTTTTTTGTCAGAGACTGAACTTTAATAATCCGTCGATAAGTGTCAGTAATTGTCAATAAATGCATAATGCACGAATCGGCATTAAATAAGGTTTAATTATGAAACAAAATCTTACATTTATTCTTCACCCTTTAGAAATTACTCTGATCACAAGTTTGGTTGTATATTTATGAATTTAAAAACAATACGCGATAACATTTTTCTTTAAAATTTTAACATTTGTCATTTAATTTTTTCTCAGGAGACAATGTACAGAACCATGATGCAATGGAGCAATGCTGTAAGTCTCTCGTCACCTGAATAAATCTGTTTTGATGTAAAGCTGCAGTTTTTTGTTTTTCCCACATCCTTCACAACAACTCTTGGTTGTTTTTCAGCACGTTCCAGATTCAGACTCTCTGGAGGAGCGACTGCTGTGTGTGGAGACCACTGAAATGCTGATGTCCCTTGTCACAATGGTCATGGATGTGGTGGCATCCTTTGCTTCTTTTGTCAGATTCCTGCCGCTTGCCAACAGGGTACGATAGTTCAAACAGTAGCATTTATTTTACATTTTAGTGTAGAGCACAGCGATTGACAGTGTCTGCAGATCTTTTTCTGCTGTGTTTTGTTCAAACCAGCTGTAAAATATTCAGAAAGTCCTAAATGTAATTTTCAAAAAGGTAAATCAGTAAAGCTGGTGAAACCTGTGATGCGAACTACATTATAAGGGTGCATAAATGTGACCTAGAACCTCATCATATTTTAATTAATTGTTACACATTTTTGATAGGCAAAAGTATGTAAGCTTAAGGATTATTAGCATCTTATTGAGACCAATTTGAATCCATTTGGTTTGGAAAAATTTGTGCAAAGGGTTTTGTGGTACTGAACACCTCTGCAAATGCACCTTTAGGAAATTGTCAGTTTTTTCTGCATAAGAGACCAGCAGTTCTTCTCAACGTAATAATGCTGTGACAGCATGCACAAAATGAAAGATTGTTGAAAGTTCTGATTTTTAATGCTGCAAGAGGAAGAACAATGTGTCAACAAAAAACATGATGAGCAAAATAATTTTGCTGCTCTTGAATTTCATTCATCCATTTTAATTCTTAAAGGATTAAAAAATACGGGACTGTCTGCCAAATGTTATGTTCCTACCTACTTTAGCAAACCTGTGTTTGTAATACCTTCCTATTTGGCTAGAGACATATATTTTATTCTTGTTTTAATTTTTCCTCCTTTGGTTCTTTCTCTTCTTCTACCTCAGATATACATTGAAATGGCTGAATCCAGTGGTGTAACAAAAGTGTTGGAGAATATCTTCTCAAGAGACTACATAGCTATGAACAAGATTTGGTATGTTTGTTATGGCAAGATAAATACAAATACGGTATTTCAAAGAGTCTATAAGATTGGGCTTGTCTTTACTTATTCTTGAGTTAACCCATTCCTTTTTTTCTCCTATACAGGAGCAAAGTTGGACGCATTGAATCGTGAGTATTGTTTCCTGTAATTACTCTTTAAGTCTTTTTGTTTAGGGAGCCGAAACATCTCAGCAGTAGTAATAAATTGTATTCAGTATGATTACTGGTTCATCTCAAAAAAACAACTCAAATTTAGTTAGAGGTACGTGAGGCTGAATCATCAAGTATTCAGTGAACATTTGAGCCACTGTGGGTGGATAACTAAATACCATTAGTTATTTGTTGGTTGGACAAATGTTTTTAAAAACTACACTGCATTACAACACAACATTACACCAGAAAAGTCTAGTAAAATTTGTTTTTCATATAATTTGGCACAGTTGGAAGTAGGTTAAATGATTTCTTGATGCCTGCTCAATCATCCAGGTATGTCAATCTTCAAAAGTTGATTCTGTTCATCTGAGTGGTATAAAAGTGTTATAAGATTGGGTGACGAAACCTTTACTACCTCTGAAAACGCTATGTCCAGATCAACAGAATCAACTTTTGGAGAGGTTAACTGATTCATTTAATCAGTAATGAAAAGGGAAAAAAAAGTCGCACCTCTTATTTGTTCAGGAATACTAGCTGAGAACTTGGATGTTGCATTTCTTGCTTCACTAATTCATCTTATAGTCAGTCATTCTTTGAGAACTAAACAGCTTTTACTATAATTTTTTTCTTTTTTTTTTAATTTCATTTTAATTTCAGTTTGAAGAGCCTCAAAGAGTGTCTACAAGACTTCAGTGAGAACACACCCAACCCTGACCTGGACACTCACTTTGTTGAATTTCACAATTTCACAAGAACTATTCAAGGAAGCAGTACACAGAGCGAGGTTAGTGCAAACATTTGCAAAGTTTCTTATTTTTAAAACTGCATTTCAATATAAGATGTAGGATGTTGAAGGATGTTGAAGTTACACAAAGTATTTCAGCAGTGATTATTAAGCCAACCATTTTAGTGCTTCAGAGTTTGTTCTTTGCTCTCTTTTCATTGACAGGATGATTTTGTAGATGAAATTGTATCTTCAGAGCAACATGATGAAAATTTCAACATGGAGGACTTTGTTGTTATTGATGAAATTGGTGAAGACATAGCAGAAGAAGATGTCAACCGCAAACGTTCTTCTTTAGCTAAAAAGATCTCCAGAGAGGAAAGAGAAGGGCGAAGCTCAGATGCGTCATCTACCTTAAAACAGACCTTAACAAGGTCCTCAAAAGACTCTAAGAGCTCTGCCTCTTCATTTTCCTCTTTATCTGAGCCGACTGAAACCACTGAGAAAAGCACCTTTTTTTCTAGGGTCAGAAAGACCCATTCTTCACTGTCGATTCCACTTCCTGCCTCCCCTGATCGGAAAACATATCCTAAGTTCAAATCTCCAGAAGAAACGCTAAATTCCTCATCCTTAAATTATAAAACCTGTACATCAAAGATGGCATCAACAGTAGCTGTTGAAGCAACAGTAGAGACTGATCTAACCGATTTTAAGGATGACACAAAAGAGTTGAAGAAAAACAAAAGAGAAGACAGGAAAAAGGATAATGTCAAACATCAAGAGGATGAGGGGGATGATGAAAATTACCAAATCCTTGATTCACTCAATGAGAAAAGTGATAAGCAGATAATTGAAGACAGGAACAAAGATAACGACACGGAAACTGACTCAGTTGGACTTGTGGAAGTACATGGACTGCTTGAGAGAAACTATGAGGTCTGCACAGAGGGCTCCAGTAAAATGGAAACAGATGCTTCTCTCCATATGTTAGAAATTGTTACAGAAGACCAAAAAACTACAGTTGAAGGGGACAGTCATCTGGTCAAAGATGAAGGTTCCACAGTAAATAAGCTGTCTGAGGAAATGACAGGAGATGACAATTCTGATAAAGATTCAGCTGATAAAAATGAAGTGTTGGATTCAAGTGGGAACCAAACTCCAAGGACCAGTGGAGATGGAAGCGGGGAAAAAGAGGAATTGATTTTAGAAGAATCTTTTAAAGTTTCCAAAGATCCTGAGCAAATAACTTTAGAAAAGCAGGACAACAGAGGCTCCTCAGTGGATGACACTAAACAAGAAGGCTTTGAGCTTTTGGATTCAATTGAGGCTCAGATTGAAATACAAGAAGACAACCAGAAACTGGAAACTCTCAGAGACCAAGTATCTAAATCAAAAACAGAAGCCATAGAAGAACAGGATGATTCATTCCAGGTAATTGATTCTGTGGAAGATGAGCCAGTGACCACAGACACAGAGTTAGAAGCTGACAAGAATGTAAAACGAACAAAGAAAAATGATGAAGCTAAAAGAGTTTATAGATCCCCAAGGAGGAGTGGACCAGAAAACAGAACATCTAAGGGTGAAGAGAAGGGCAAATCATCAAAGAAACAGACCCAGACTGAGAGAAATGACAGCACCGTCAAGAAGGTCAATAAAGCAGCTGAGGAGATGGTCTATGAGATAGTAGATTCTGTTGAAGATAAATCGATTCAGGATGACTCTTCTATAGAAAGTTCTGGTAGAAGAAGGTCTGTCAGAAGAAACAATGATAAAAAGACATTAACAGAGCCTTTTAACAAACGTGATGGAAAAGAGGATGCTAAGTATGAGATTTTATACTCCACTGAGAACAAGGCTTCTAGTGGCCCACTAACCATCATGACAAGAACAACCAAAGAAGTCTTGAAAAAAGACAAGATACAAACAAGAAGCAGACCTACACCTGCCAGAGATTCACTGGCGCCAAACAAGGAGGAAACTCCAAAGACAAAAGAGAAAGGACCTGTAAAAGAGAGCACGCCAACAAGAAGAAGTCACTTCATAAGAGACCTACATGAGGAGGACGATATTTATAAAATATTGGACTCGGATGATTCTGTTATGCTCACAGAAAAAGCAAAAAGGGGAAGACTAAAGAAAGTAACTATAAAAGGAAATCCACTGAAAGATGATCCGTCTGATAAAGTAGCTGTTGAAGAGGACACATATCAAATTCTTGACTCTGTTGAGGATGAGATAGCCGATGATCAGCTTACCAGAGACCAGAGTACAGAAGAGTCAACTATAGATGATGAAAAAGACACTCTGCCGTCTGTGTCAGACTGCCAAGATAATCAATCAGTGGAGTCCTCAAACCCAGAGGTAAAGTTGCTCTTTAAACATGTGCTCTTTTTTATTTGTAGTGATAATTTAAACTTTAATGCAAAATATTTTGCATGTCTTGTTGTAGGCTTTTGTGACTATAGATGAAGCAGGTGATGACGGGGAGGAGAAAGCAACTAAATATGAAGGTGAGAAAAGTTCAAGATCTGCTTACTGCAAACAGGATGATGGCACAGGTCTGCTATATTCTGTATTTAAATCCAGACTGCTTTTGCAGGGAAATTTCAAAAACTTCCAGATAGATACTTTGAATAACTGTTAATTATCTAAACACTGGGTTATTGTTGACATATTTATTAATGGAAAGTCATAGGCAATTAGCCCAAAAGGAAGACTAGATCTTCTTGAAGATCTTACTTTACTTTTGCATTTTAAGTCAGTTTAAAGAATTTACCAGATATGGAATAAATAAAGTATTGCTTATTCTTATTATTTTTCTTATTGCCATCTGCAATGTGAAACTAATGGAAGTAAATGAAGAAAAATGAGATTATAATAAAAGTAACTTGCAATTGAAATTCAGAGAACGTTTTGGGAGCTACGAAACATTTCTGTTTTTAGAGTTAATGTAAGTCAGAAACTTTCTTTCACTATACATAACAGTTTCAGCATAAAGTTAAACATTATTTTCACTGAAAATTAACAATAATTTGTTTACAGAAATAAAATAGTAGTCCCAGAGTAGTACTCTGTGGCACACCTATAGGACAGTGTTTTCTGTTATGAAAATAAAAGGTTTCAAGTTTAATTTGAGTCTTTATTTGATTTCATGCATTAGAGGAGAATGGTAGCTTTGTAACGGTTGATAAACTGTGGGAGATTGCTGAAAAAGAAAAAGTGGTAACAACCAGGACAAGCGGTCAAGCCAAGAAGAGAACAAGACAGACACATGGTAACACACAAACAACTACATCTGTTACATAGTCATGTCAGACCAACATGAAACTAAAGGAATTTATTGTTTTCTCCTGTAGTGAGAAAATCTACTAGATTGAAGCAAGAAAGCACAAAAGATGAGAGAACAGAATCACTGCCTCCCTCTTCACTTGATTCCTTATCACTTTTATCATCCCCGGACCAAGTGGTGTCTGGATTGTCAAGTGAAGGCCAAACAGAGATTTGGAAATTGGAGGAAGCAGATAGACAATCCAGTATAGAAACCACATCTGCTGGGAAGCAGTCCAGCTCTGACTATGCTGATAGCCAGAGACTAGGAGAGGAGAAGCAAGGACAGAGAAGGACCGCCCGTAAAGGTTGAAGGAACTGTTTTCGCTCACAATTCACACCGAGCTGATTTTAAATGCATCGTTCTAAAAATCAATTTTGAAGTCGATAAAATTATAAAGTTGCAGCTTTCCTGGTTGCCAGTATTTTTTTCTGTCATTATCAGAAGATTTGGAACAACTGAAATTTGTCATTTTTGTTTGGAAAAAAAAGTTAATACTTCAGTGTTACAGTACAAAGCAATTTTTTTTAATTAATACCTTTGAATTAGTTTCTGCAATAGCTGCAAAATAATTTGTTGACAGGTTTAAAGGATTTGTTGACAGTTTTTTTTTTTTTTCTTCTTCTTCAGCTTTTGGGAAACAAAGAAGTGATCTTGTCGAACCTGAAGCAAAGCGATCTCGCTCTCAGTCTCCTTGTGTCACTGATAACTTGGACCTGCCGCCTTTTAACCCCAGCATCCCACTTGGTGAGAAACAAACACAAATAATAAATAAAATCTGTTTAGTTCCAGAGATTTACTCAGTTATTTTTTTGTAACGTTCTGTTCCTTTTTCTGTTCCTTATCAGGTCAAGAGCATGTTGTCCCTAAAACGGGGTATTTATGTAGCCTGTGCTCAGTTTTCTATGTAGCTGAGAGCACTGCCAAAGACCTACACTGTAGAAGCCAGAGACATTACAATAACCTGCAGGTATGCAAAAACACATACACAAAACTGAATGGATAAAAAGATGTTTTGCTTCCCTTTTATAACCTTTTTTTTTTTCTTTTCAGAAACATCACCAGACAGTTGGACAAACAGCTTCAAGAACATCAACAAGAAAGTCTCAAGACTCCTCTTCGGTCTAATTGTTAATGAGTAGTTGTTTAGCCCATGCTTAAATATGGCCGCTATCTCCTTTGACAGCTAGATTTTTGTTTACTTTGAGAAATAAAGGGCTAAATGATAAGAAGCCAAAGCTGTCAAGTAGGTAAATTGCGGAGTGACATCTTTGATTTGTTGGCACGGCGCTGCAGTTCTGACTGTTTACTTCAGATGTTCTTCTTTAGGCGCCTCAGTGTATAACAGTGTCGACAGTTTGACCATGAAGGATTTAGAGTTTACAATCAGTGAATGCCAAAAAAAATATTTCTGTTCCTAGTCTCGGGAAAACCTGGAAATAATACAGGCCTTAAACTTCTTTAAGCCATTTTGAATTTAACAGTAGATAATTGTGTCTATGGTAAATAACCTTGCCTATGTTTAAAACCATATTGTCATAAAAATATGGTTGCATGTGTGTGTGTTTATGGCCAGGAACCATGTATTCTAAATGAAAATAGGCCTACTTAAGAAAATAATAAGAGATATTTTTTTCCACTCTGGCTCAGCAAAATCTGATTATTATGCTGCACATGCTGATGAGAGACCAATGGACGAATGAGTGTTCAAAAGTTATTTTGGATTTATTTACAATGCTATACGTACAGTGTAAATATGAGCGCATTTAATAAAGATGTTTTCAGATGTGAGGAGGCCTCAGGGTTGACCGAGGACACGCTAGAGAGATTACATGCCTAGGGTGGCTGGTTCTGTTTCTATGCCAGTTATTTATATTTGGTCAAAAATAATTCTGATTGCTTTCATTGTATGACTATACCAGTAATAATAATTAGTATTAATTACAGACACTGTTATCTTTTAAATAATCATTTGGATTACAGTTTGAGCAAAGGCTCAAGCATATGTTATGAAATATGAAAATTATTTATGTTTGTAACATTAATAGCAATAGTAATCTGCCGTAAAAGGTTGATGGGCTATTGCCGACATGGACACACAACTTTGTGAATGTGATGACTTGAGAACATGGTGACGTGAGGTCAATATTTTTTTCCTTCAGATGACATTAATGATATGTCATAATGTGATTTAAGAAAAAATACATCTTGCCAGTATTGTAATTTTTGCTGTTAAGATTGCTTCTTACAGTAAATTAATCTTGGGGTCCATGTTTGTTAACTTTGTAATGTCTCTTAATTTGTTCAAAAGTGTTTGCGAAAAAGAAAAATTATTTGGGTTACACAATAATTAACATATAACAATAAGAAACAATAATTAACATGTCACTCATGTCAGTGCAGTGTTCTCCGCTTATGTTAGGCATGCAAGATTTAGTTCAAGGTCAACACCCCACACGTGTGAGTGTGAGTGAGTGAGCATGTGGGAAGAGAGAGTGTGTCTGTGTGTGGGAGGATGTTCTGTCAGAGTTCACTGTTAGATGATTTCTGAGCAGACTGGCTGGGTAATCTCAAGTTTTCCACTTTTCGAGTATAATTCTGTCATATTTGTGCTGGAAGAGGGAGCCATGTTGGAGATACTTTACAGCTTTTAATATCATTAAGCCACCAGGCTGCGGTCTCCCACTGAGGAAGTGGTGAGTAAACAAATGCATTTCAATTCCACGTGAGGATTCACATTTTGTGTTATGATACGGGTTGCGATGTGAGCCACGCCTTCATCCATCTGCCTTGTAGACTGCAACTTTTTAGACTGATTGTAGTGTAGTGTGTAGAAAAAAAGTATAGCATTTATTTGCATAAATGGGCTAAATACCTAATGGAAAACTTACAGAAATTATTATTTCTATTGGAGTAACAGAAATAATAAATAAATATTTATGTTAAGTGTGTCTTTAGAAAAAGTTGGAATGTAATTTTTTTTTTTTTGTTATGACATTTACTCAGGTGTTTCAAATGTAACAGAATGAAAATGCACTTGCACAATAAAATGTTATTTTTTTTCCATGTATCCATCGGGTTATTGCAGCACAGAGTAAGCTCTTCAGAATGACCTCATATGACAAAAGTAACTTCACCTTATTTGCTCATGCTTGACTCAATAAGTGACAGATTTGTGACTATCAAGAGGATAAAAAAAGGTAGCATGATTATGGTCAGTGGAAAATGTGCAGGTGTAGTTATTTATTGGCGTATTTATTTTATTTAATTATTTACTTAAGTATTTTGAGACTAAAAGAAAAATATTCCAAATGCCCGGAAAGAAAACAGCTTGTTAATCTGACTTTCTTTGACTGTTTAGGGCCTAATTCTCGTGTGTGTGTGTGTGTGTGTGTATGTGTGTGTGTGTGTGTGTGTGTGTGTGTGTGTGTGTGTGTGTAACCTGGACAGTAACTGCCACATTCTTGGATTCATGTGTGTATGTTAGTTAATCACTAAATGGAAATGCTCATGCTCCTTATCTGCAAACAAGGAACTATGTTTACTTTGAGGTGTTTCATAAAGAAAGAGATTAAATTAGAAAAATCCGATAAAACTTTATTAATCCCTCAGGTGGGTTCCTCTGGGAAATTCTGTTTCCAGTAGCACAGCTCCAACAGAAGCTGCAAAAGGATGCAAGAATAGAAATATACCATATATACACATATATAAATACAGAGTATATAATAGCGATAAGTACACCTTAAAAAAAAAAAGTGCTGTTTTTACAGGAAAACGCTGGCAGCTGGGGTTACCAGGGACTTCCTAAAAAAATACAGCAGCACAGTATATCGCGTTACAGATGCAATATGTAAATTGATTTACAGTGAATGAAACTCACATTAAAACTGTTAAATCTACAGAAAAAAAGTTAATTTCACACGTTGATGTTATATATAAATAGACTATTTCCTGTATCTTTTACAAGTAATAAATGCTTATTGTGGATCCATAAATTGTAAAATTAACAGGGAAATATGGAACAAAAAACTAATTTAAAATGGTAGAACAACGGTGAAACTGTGCATATTAAATGGAGCTGCTCTGTATATTATACATAAAATCCATTACTATGCTGAATATTTTATGTTTTAATGTAAAATTTTAACCATAAACCAGCAAATTTGTTACTGCTACGCCTACACCCAAACATGCAAAAATACATCTTGAGAAAACACAAGAGTGGAAAATATCACTTTTGGGAAATTTATTTTGCAGCCAGATTAGCCAAATGACAGCAATTGGATGCATTTTTTCCAACTAACACAATATGCAAGGCACACAGCAACTACACAATTCAATCAGAATATAGGCTATAAAAGCTGTGGAACATTCCTGCAAAGCAAGAACCATGTTCATGAAACAAGCATTTGTTAGACCCTCCACCAGAAAAAGTTAAATAACCTGTTAAGACTTTAAAACAAAAAACACATATTGTGCCAAAAATGATCATAATCACCGTGCAACGCAACACGCACCCTGCTGTCACCACAACCATGGCCCTGGTAAGAAAACATCAGCAAAACCACGTGGTGAAACACACCTACACATGTGGTCTAGAAACACTGCAGTAGCAGCATGTTGTTTTTTTCTTTTCTTATGTAAATAAAGAACATTCCTACAAAGAAAGAACATCTTCATGAATTGGCTTCATGCATTCGACCAGTAAAAGGTTCCAGTACACATTGTGGAACAAAATTAACAAAGTAAAACTAACAGTCCACAGAGAGTCAAGATTTAGGCTTAGCGCCACTCGTGGTCGGCGAGATCCTGAATCAGGGTGAGGACTCGAGGGTTCACACTGAAGCTTTGAGTTTTTATTCTCTACTTTGGTTCCTTTTTCTGGGTTTATGGAGAAGAAACACCTGTAGAATAAAAATCATATAAAAGTTTATTAAGCATTTTTATAATTGATCAGTTAAAATACACGTACAAAGTAAGTAAAAATTAAGTATATACATATATACACACAGTCATGGCCATGACCACGTTCAAGACAAAGTATAACCAAAATGCTGTGGGGAAGTGAACAATGCATGGTCAAAAGTATTGGCACCCTTTACGAGTGTCTTCTGGAGTGATATGTCACACTTTAGCATTGTTAAAATCCAAAGCAAAGGTTATAGGTAGTCAGACGTCAGCTGACGCTTGGTCTAGCCCTGAGTCTCGGCCAGGCTTGGACCCGGATTCAGACTGTTAATGTATTTAAAAAAACCAAACAAACAAAAAAAAACCAACAACAAAAAACTGAAAAAAAACAACTGAAACCGGCTCCGAAGCCGACCGAGACTCAGAGCCAGACCTGGACTCGAACCACATCAAAGCCAGACTCCAGATCCCAGAGTCTCAGTTATGAGAAATAACAAAGCCATATTTGTTCACCTCTGAAGAAACTCTAAAGTGGAAGCCAGCTCAGATGGATAATGGATGTTGAAATTGTAGTAGCTCCCGAACATGAGGCACAGTGCAGAAATGAAGGAGGATATGTTTGTGCTGACGAGGTTCCGATCAATACTCAGCGTGTATCTTCTTGAGGAATAGCAGGACTGTCCTGTCAACAAATTATTTAACAGGTTATATCAATAAACACGGCAGTCACATGACATTCTATAAAAAGTGCACTTAAAAAAAAAGAGAGAGAGAAAGAGCTATGAAACAGACTTACCACACACGATAATAGTGGGTGTCAGAGACACTTGCTCCAGTTGTACCTCATCTGCCAGACATGTATCTTCAACACAGAGAAGCATGGACTCCTCCTTCTCTTCAAAGTAGCTGAGCAGAAGCAGGACCATCTCTTTCACATCATCTGAGCAGCCACTCTGCGGTCCCCGCATCCTCTGAAGCCTTGCATAAGTCTGAAGCAACACCTTGCTTTTGCTGACAGCAACTGTGGTCAAGTAGTCCAGTAGCCTTTTCCCCTTCAAATCCAAATTTCGTGTGAATGTCTCTTTGAGGTCAATCCCAGTCCGGTTGTTCAGTGATGACGTGACGAATCCTACTTCCGGGCCTAAAGTAGTCTGCGTTTAATATGACTTTTGTGTTGTTAACATGTTTAATGTTATGTATTTTCTTCTATTTGATCTCAAAAGCTCCTAAAACAGTCAGTGATCCCTGTTGACCTCCCTCGGCTTTTATTACCGCTAATCATTTATTTAAGCTCAGTTTTTAAAACCTTAGGATGTAACTACAGCCCAGCCCATGCAGCAGTATATGAATGACTAACCTCGTATTGTAGATGGATTATCTCAGTTGTTCTCCTGGCTGAAGTTTGGTCCTCTTACAGCATCCTGCCATGCGATTACATTTGTTTCTGACCACCGAGAAAACTCATGTTAACTTTTATCGAGTGGAAAAAAAAGTTAGCTTGTTTATATTATGCTAACATAGCTATGTCGCTAGCGGTCACGTAGCACATCATTATATACCAGCTAGCCCAACTTCAGTAACCCTACAAACGTCACTAGGGTTGCCAACTCCCTGAAAAATAAATAAGGGACACCTCGTGGCCAGGGCCGGGCGACCCAGTTGTCTTCACCCTTCCCAGTGTGGTGAATTTTCTAGCTCTTTTTTTGTGTGTGAAATTATTTTTTTAACCCTTTGACTTGAATTTGATTTAAGTAGATGTGTATTCTTTGTGATATGAACACATGTGAAACAAATGATCATTTAGCCATTTATTTTCAAAATGACAACATTAACACAGTAAAACAGGTCTCTTTCTTAAACAGAAGCCTGTCATGCTTAACTTTTGAGAATATAAGTAAATCTTTCTTTAAAAGAACTCTGTCCTGCTTAACTTAAAATAATAGAAAACAATAGAAAGAAAAACATTCTTGTAACAGTGCACATTTAGTGCATTTAGTACAATTGGCTTCAGCTGAGGTATTATTTCAGCTTTTCTAAT